GATACCTCCAAAAAACTACTTGTTGCAACATTACTAGTATCGCTCAATTCATAGTTATCTAAACTGAAACTTCCATTGTTTATTTCATTGGAATCGTCGAAAGAACTGTTGTATTCCATTTTATTTTGATATAAATAATACCAGTAATGTTGCAAGGAAAAAAATATTGTAAAAAATATCACAAAATTTTAAAGAAACATGTAAAGGTGTTAAATAAATGTAAAAAAAAAAACCAGGGGTTTTTTTTTTAATTACCTTAAAACTTGAAATCCGATCGAATACAAAATTTGAAATCTGTATCCGATTCGTATACAAACGGTTCAAAAAATTTAAAATCCGATCTGATTCGTTCAGATCAAATCCACGGATCATTCGGATTTGAATAAAAATTGAGATCCCTAAAGTCAAGTAACAGGACTTTGCAATAGACTAAATGATCCTGAACCAACAAGAATCACACCAATAATTAGACTCAAACAAGCACAGATAAAAAATTGAGAGTCACTCAATTTATTAACCTGTAAATCCTTAAGTTATTTAATAGACAAAGGCAACTTTATACTCTAAGCAATCAAAATTGTTAAAGATATGATAATAATATTTCATAGTTGAAAATAACAAGATATTTTTGAATAGAAAATAGAAAACATTTGGATTAAAGAATATCTTATATCAAAAAAATATAAAAAAGCTATACCATCATTCAGAAACAATTAACTTATATATTTAATCCAGTTGATTGATCAGGAAATCAAAAAAATAAGAGACGAGTGAATGCTTTAGCTCTTACAAAATACAAGCAAAGGATCTATACTAGAATAGTTTTAAATTATAGTCAAAAATCTCTCAGGAGAACAACTAAAGCAGCTTATAAGATCCTGAAGAAGAAATTATATAAAATGTGAACCAGAATATTTCAAAATAGAACCTAATTGAGACAAGTGAAAAAATTTGTGAATAGTAATAAAAAACAAAAGAAATTAAATAATTTGGAAAAAATTAAGACAAGAAAAAGAGGGAAATGTCATGATAGTAAAGCATTTTACTAGTTGTAATATCAACAATAATCAGGAGACTAATATATAAAAATATCCAGGATATTTGGAAGACACAATACTAAATCATAACTGTATTATAGAAAGAAAAATAAGTGAGATATATATAGTACCATACTTTAATATAAAAATGTCCATCAGAAAAATATTAGATTTAAAAATCTCTAACCCTAGATAAATACTTGAAAAAGGGTTAAAAAAGTGATTTACAATAATTAAAGTCTTTTCAAGATTCAAAATGATAGAGCAAATTATGTGAACATTAAAATCTAGAAAGAATCTATCATCAAAGAAAATATTAAAGAAGAAGTATATTAAGATTATTTGATAGATATGCTTCAATGTAACCTTAAATCTAAAAAAAAGTTAATCTTCTATTTAAATAGATCACTTATTAATCATGATAAAAAAAAAATGAAGATAAAAGTAGCTTTAATTCAGATTGGAAAAGAAGAAAAGAAAAGCAAGTTTCAAATAGGAGTAAAAATTGGTCCTTGTTTACAAGAGCTGAATTTATAGAAAACATAACAATATTTCTAATAGTTCCAATTGAAAGTATGATAGAGATCTTTACAAACAATCAGATATATATTTCCAAGTAAAAATTCTTAGAAAAAGAAGACCCAAGAAGGATACACAAGAGATAGCTTAAAAAAAAAAATTGATTTTTTTGGATATACATGACAGAGTTAATAAAAAATAAAAATATAGATTTAAAGTTTACAAAAGTCAAGACACACTCAAATGATTCTTATAATGAAGAAGCAAATATCTTAGCTAAAGAAGCTTTAAAATTTTCACTACTTGAATAGAAAGATCTCACTTTATACAAAATTATTACTGAAATTAAGTGACAAGGAATGACTCTAGATAATCTAGTTAGGCAGTTTATCAATAATATTAATAATAAGATAATAGTCTATCAGTAGATATAGCAAAAAAGAACAGAGAAAAAATAAAGATATCAGATTTCAGAATATCGAGCTTATATATGGAACCTAGTATAAAAAAGAGTTAAAAATGGGTACATGTGGAATACATTTTTTAAACAATTACAACAAAGAAGTTTTCTTATTAAACTGATAAATAATGAGCTACCTATCCTAAGTAAGTTGGTTTTAGGATTAGATTTATAAGTAAGTAAAATATATTGTATGTAGCTAATAGAATGAAACTATAGAACATTTGATAAAATATTTAATCTATAAGAACCAGCTATAAGAGATATGGAATAAAGAAGTAGATAAAATCATTGGAAACTTTAAAAAGTTACTATGGGAAAGAAAGAAAAAGGCCAAAAAGAAAAATTCCAGGTTAATTATTGATAACTGCGAAGAAATAGTAGAGTTTGACAAGTAGATCTTTAAAGTAGTAAGAATAAATATTATTCTAGAAATGACAGATCTAAAATATCAAAGTAAATATATAGGAAGAATAACAAAAAAGTGGATAATAAAATACAAAAAAGAATCTATAATCAAGTTCAAAAAGAAAGTCTGGAACAAGAGATATAAAAAGATAATTGAATGGAAACAAATATAAGGAATTAATAGAAAGAATAAGATAAAAAGACCTTTATATTTCTCATATTTCTCAAGCCAAAAAACCATGCTTATGAAAAAAAGAGCTTTATTATCAGAAGAAGAAAACCTTGAAGATGAAAGTCTCCAAGAAATTCTAACAAGAAGAGTGAAATATAGAATGAAATGATTAGGTTTTAAGCTCTGTCAAAACCTTGTAGAGTGATCTGTAATAGTGATCTGCAGATAATAAAGTTAACAGTTGAAAGAATCTTTATCTGAATTGCTAATGAAACAATAAATCGGTATGACAACCTTCATCATATCAACTTTTTTCTGTAGATCCCTGACTACCATTTCCAAAGAAGCGTTCCTCCAAAACTTTATGTTTTGAGAGTAATAAAACTTCAAAACTCTCTCTAAAAACATCTGCCCCACTTGGCAGTAATCATATTACATCCTTCTTGTTTACTTTTCCTCTTCACAAACTCTCTACCTAAGAAGTTAATGGCAAGAAAGCTTTTCTAGGAAAAAGAAACCGGATGAAAAAGTACCCTCCCTCCCTTTCCTATGGAGATCCTAGAGTCTAGGAAGAAGTTTGGGCCAACAACTCTATGCCAACCAGTAGGTAGACATCAATACCACAGGCAAAAACAGCTTCTCTTTCAGCATATAGCAGTTTTCTTAATTTTTCTGAGGAATTTTGCCTATCCTAGCTTGACCCTGAATTTTCTGTTATACCAGATTTTGGATGGATTGATTGGCTGAAGTTTGGGACTGGTTGCTTCACGGTTAGCAGAAATGTAAACAAGGATACACGTAACATGGGACGTGAATGCATTTCCTAAGCTCTATAAGAACCTTAGGTCCATTATAAGTCACTGACTAGTGGTGCAGGTGAATAAACATCACATGGACCATGATCTCCTCTCTCTCATCAATTCCAAAAGTGTCAAGGCTATGGACTGAGTATTTTCTGAGGCAAAGTTGGGTGGATGAGTAGTTGTTAGGTGTCCCTTCATTCCTTCCCCTACTTCATCTTCTTGTAAATATTTTCAACCTTTCCCTTCCATTTTAATTTTATTTTTAACACTGACTACTTGCAAGACTAGTATAAGAGACCTTCAACATCAGATGGTGTTGAGACTTTTGTGCGAGTCCTGGCATGTTAGGTCCCACAGTGGGTGGCAACAAGCCAATCGGTAGGTGCATTAGTATACTCTAGATAGTGTCGATTCCTGAATATGGGGATGGATGAGCAATGCACAGCTTGTGTATCTCATTTGTCCCCCACTTTGTTTTTAAAAGAGAAGTATTTACACTAGGCAGTTATGTATTTTTTTTATCCTGGTTGGGTTAGACATAGATCAAGTCATAAAAATAGATAGCTCCCTGTTCTATTTCTCTCTAGTGATCTATAAATCCTTAGACAGTACAGGAAAGTATTCATCCAGATTGTTGCTAAATATGATCTTTTATTAATAAAATACTGGAGAAGGTGTGAGATGAGCCAGTTTTAATAATAATAATAATAATGAAACAATAAATTATTTCTGAAATTATACTTAGAATTTTAATAATTCTTAAAATAAAGATAAGTGAATTAAGTAAAGACTTAGCTTTAGTGATACATTTTCCAATATAAAGTTTATATATACTGTATGTTTAATAAAACATATATACCTAACCTGATATAGGGTTTTAAAAAAAAAAATCATATTATTTGAATAGATATAATATTTAAAAATTTTTAAAAAAATTAATATATATACAGTATTATATGATCAAAAGATTTTTTTTTTTAAAAAAATAGAGTTATATATTTAATAATCAATTTGATTGCGGGTTAAATGTTATTAATTTAAATCATTTTAATTATGTAGCCAGGCATATTTTCCGAAATTATAAGCAATCCGTACATTCGCCTGATTGCAACCTTTACTTTGACAAATCGTTACGTCGCGATTTTTGCAAAGTATCTAAGGACAGAAATAAACCTTATTTTTCAAACTCTGTACGTGAGCAATGTCTTTTCAGACAAACTCCGAAAGTATGTTTAGGTACCCTGAACAAATGCAACACGATGAAATTCTCACTGAACAAGATCAGAAATACATTTCAGATTTCTTCGACACACTCGCAACTGACGAGCCACCTAGTCATATGATGGACATTACGCAACATAGTGCATCTAACATTCCGTTTCCAGGTAAATAATTTAGTCTTTGGTGGTTTTGGTAGGTTTTGGAAAAGAATAATTTATGATAGATTGCATTTCTGTATTCTTCATAGAATTAAATTATTAACAGAATTACAATATTCCTAAACAGAATCATTGCCTCAATCTCCTAGAGGATTTTCTGGGTTTGGTCATGGTTTTGAGTCAAACGTTGGGTATACTGGTTCCAGCGGGTATATATATCAGCCATTCGGCTCCGCCTCTATCACCATACCAGCAAATAATAGCTATTTACATTCCAATTATCAACAAATTCACGCCCACAATAATTTTGCACAACAATACCCTCAGACTCATCAAATATCATCATTGAGTAATGGTGGGATGAATGTCGGAAAGGGCAAATCTACTAACAGCCATACATCCGCATTATACGTAAAGACCGAACCAATTAACATTTCTAATCGAAGGCAACAATCGCCTTCACCATCAAGGCTAAGTTCAATGCAAAAACAACCTTTAAAGCGTACACCTTCTCGGAGAAAATCGATCAAAAATTCTAATGAATTAAGTGTAACTTCAACCGAAACAAAGTCAGACGAAGGAAACAATTCATCCTCAACTACACACCAATCAACTTCTTTTACATCAGGAATAAATGATGAACCATCGACACCTGGGTCGCCGAAAATAATGTCCACTTCTGATTCGAACAATGCTCAATCATCAACACCGACGTCAAATCGTGGTGGTAGGGGAAAAAAAGGGAATCATGAACTTTTAACTGAGGCCGAAAAAAAGGCGAATCACATTGCATCTGAACAAAAAAGACGACAGAATATACGTTTGGGTTTTGATCAACTAGTCGAGATTGTTCCTACTTTAAGTCAGTGCCATAGAAGTGAAGCATTGATTCTGCAAAAATGTAATATAATGTTATTTTTAGAAGAGTGAAAATTTGTGGGTGGTTCTGTAAAATTGCATATATGTGTTTTTTCCTTACACCGTCTTGCAGGCATATTGCCCGCAAAACAGTAACAAGTGACAAGGGCGGTTTAAGGGACAATTATTAAATAAGTTCTTACAACTTGTTTGTATATATTTCTGACACAAGTGGATTTATATATATAATTATTCTTTTTTTTTTTTCCTTTTTGTAGCTGTAGAATACATCCAACAATTATTAATGCAAAAAAATGAATTGAAAGATCGGGTCAAATCCCTAGAATCCACATTAGGAGACACGTGAGTCTTTCTTTGACATATATTCCGGATATTACCGACCATCAGTTTTTAATTCATTTATGCTCTTCCATATTTTCCACAGGCCAGATCATTTGGATGATTCGGTGAGTAGATTGAGATTTCTTGTACATGTTATTCCAAATTATTGACATATCCATTACTATATACAGTCATCCGATGGAGAACTCGACCTAATCTTCTGACTAGTACGAGAGAGAAAAAGAAAACAAGTATCATGATAATTTGTTCAAACACGGGAAATCGATTTATATGCAGTATCTATTGTGTTTTATAACCTTTAGAGTACCAGAGGTTGTAAATTTTTTGAGGGTGACTGAATCTTTCAGGGCGCCGTAGGTTTATTTATCCGATTAGATATACATATTAACATAAAAGTCACCAAATGTCATACATATTTAAAAAAATTTTTTTTAACTTTTCTTATTTTGAGAAGGTTAGTTGACCGGAAGAAGAATAATAGATTTTCTGTCACAAAATGCAAAGTCTTGATTGTATGTACATGAATTGTATAAAAATTGCTCCAATTCGATTTAAATGTAGGAGTAATTTAACTTATGAAAAATTTAAACCATCATTAATAAGTAAGCAGTAGTCGTGTCAGAGGACGCCGTGGCGAATGAGTTGTAATGCATCAATAATAAGCAATATTAAGTGCATACAATTACTGCCCAAAATTATTCATTCATTTTAAGCATGTGATACAATATTTAATATACAGTAAATATCATTAATGTTTAATATTTTATAGGTCTTGAATTATAAATATTTTATGTTTTTTGCTCTTAAATTGATTTTTTTTTCTAATTTTTTTTTTTTAAAACTGGCTCATTCTTGTTTTATTTGTGAAAAAGTTATATACATTTTTTATGCATTTATAATTGACTTCTTATTACAAATTTTGCTATCTAAAGAAATAATACTTTTTTATTGATCGGTCTATTATCACCTTGTGAGGGTCTAATATGTCAAGGAGGTTGTGTTGGTGTTAATGAAAAGAGAAAAATGAATTATAAAAAAAATGTCTGTAAATTTTTAAAGCTTCTTTTATTTGATTTTTATTTCTTGAGTTTCTTTTTTGAATTGTTTTGCAAAATCATTTGTTTTTAATTAATATTTCATTGGCTTTTTCCAATTGTTTATGATTATGCATCCATCTTTTCATATTTTTTTTTTAAATGTGTGAATTTTTGACATATTTTGTATAGTCACTTTTTTTACATATATAAATAGTATATAAGATTATTTGTTTTCTTGATAAGTTCTGCGTTAAAATATTTTCTAATAAGTTTTTTTGTACTTATAAGTATTATAATGATTTTTTTTAAGTATTTTATATATATGTCTATAAGTGTTACACAAGTAAATGCATAAAAGTTATTTTATCTTTTTTTTATTTTTAAGCATATTATATATATGTTTTATTGATATATTGTAAATTTTTTTTGAATAGTTTGCTTATTATTGGAAATTCCAAATTTTATTATTTAATCTGAAATCTTTTTTATATATAGTTCTTAAATATTATAATTCTCTGCTAAAGTTAATATTTTCAAATATTGCTTTTCAATTAATATACTTCTTTAAAATATAGTTTATCTATAAGTATTTCTATATAAAAGACTTCATTGTATAATATATTTGATTTAAAAAATAGATTTATAGAATTTTTTGATTGAAATATTAATGATTTTATTTTTTTATTTTGCAAAGTCCTAATTTAAGAATAGATATAAATTAATGGAAATTGTTCTTATATCTGGAATTATATTTTTATAATCGATTTTGACTAGTTAGTTTACTTTTTTATTATCCTAAATATTATAATAAATTTTTACTTTATAAAAAATTAAGCAAATTTAAAGTGTATTAAAAAAAAACTCTTTTTGCTGATCCTCTACCTACACACAAAAAAGATGTTCACAAGAAATTTTTTATTTCTTTACTAATAAAGTCTTAACACTATCCTTAAATCAACTTAAAGTATTACTTTAAGAGATACTCCCAAATCCTTCCTCTTGTTTATATTCGTTTTCAAACAAAAACTTGGCTTCTTGTGACCTAGAAAAGTCAAAAAACACCTTTTCTACCTATGGCAAGAAAGTTCTGAAAGGAAGAAGAACTAATAGTATAGTACTTGCAATCTTTCATATTGAAACATGTCTATAGAAGTTTTCTGCAGTGGGAGGTGGAGAACATTAAGCCATATTTCAAAGTGTTTGTCACTGTTTCTTCCTCTTATAGTCACCCAAAATTTTTTTTTGATTTTTTGGGGAATTTTGCCTACCTCAGTTTGACCCTGAATTTTAAATGACACAATCTATTGCAAAATATGATTGGCGGATACGAAACACGTTAGTAGCTAAATATAAACAAGTACTTACTGGTCACCTCACGTGTTTCGATGATATCATTGGTGATAGAATGAGTTAATTGGTACCCCATGTCCACCCCACTTCTTCAATTGGGTTAACCTACAGATCAAGTACCATGAGGCCAATAAGATATGAGCAACAAATCCCCAGGTGGTGAAAAAGCTAATATTTGTTCAAGCTGAGGTCTTTCTCTTCTATCATTCCGGTCAGGCAAAGTTTCAGATCAAGATCTTCCTCTTATCCCGGTCCGACAAAAAGACTGAACGGTCTCTAGTCCATACT